GCGGCGCCCATGCCGGCCTCGGGGCTTCCTGTGCGCCGGCCGCAGGCGTGCGGAGCGGCGCGTCGACGCCCGGTCCCGCGGGCGGCCGAGCGAGGGGGAAACCGAGGGTCCGGGAGGGCGTGTGGACGAGGTCTCACGGCCGCCGAGTAGCAGAGCTCTGTTCGAACCAGGTCTGTCGCAGTCCAAATTCTGAACCCCTTACCCAAACGCGCTCCTTTCCCTGTGCCGACGACACCCATTCAGGCAAGTCACAGTGTGTCAGGAACCTGGTTAGCTGGAACTGGATCCTCCATAAGCCCCTGTTCCCTCTCCTGCAAATTGAAATTGAATCCTAACTTCGGTCTCCTTCTAGCTCGCAGCACTGCCCACTGAGCATCTGAACAGTGCTCCCCACTAGTCCGTGCTCCCCAACCTGGTCTGCCTTGTTACCTGGAAAGAACCCAGTCATCCACAGCCCCCGACCACCTTAGCTCAAGAGCGGGAGGAAAGAGGAGTCTGGAAGCAATAATATTAGCCCTGGGAGTGGGGGCGGGGGGAGTGAATTTGTTGGCCTGGGCCTGACAGCCAAAGGTCCCAGAGCACAATCAACTCTGAGACACCCATGATGCTTACTAGCCTAGATGTGTTTCTAATATTTGCTTTATTCATACACAGCAGGAAGAATGGAGGTAAGACTGACCCCAAATACAGAATTTTGATTTTTCTACTAAGCCCCAGAGAAGGCATAAGCTAGGTAAGGACCTAAAGAACTAAATAATTTCTCTTTTTTTATTAGGCTAATCAACTGGTCTTTACAATTTACTGATACTACTAGTGTGTGCTAACAAGACGCTCATTACTGCTTGATTGCCATCAGGGCCCAGAAGCAGCCCAGGCCTTCACAGTTTAACAGGTGTAAGTTACATATAATTGTTTTCTTGAGTACTCTTACGTTCCTTCCTCAGTCTTTCTATTTGGGAACTTGGTCTAATGTCAAAACCCAATTGTAATCATGAACAGAAGAGAGGACAGCATCAGCATCCAGTGTTACTGTGATCTGGGAATGGTTTTTGGTTCAGAATCTTGATAATGAGTTTAGTCCAGCTCCAAAGGATCTTTTTCTAGGCTGGTTGGTCTTCTGATAAAAGCACGCTACCAGCCCCTTCCCATCCTTCACTTCCACTGAACTCAGAGTTAATCCCTGAGGTACATGGAAAGGGTTGGGGCCAGGAAAACTGTGGAGACTAGCTGGGTGTTCAAGGACACAGTAAACAGCAACATAGAAAGGAAGGAGAATTATTACAGCAGTTAGAAATAAACAGATTACTGTAGTTGAAATTGTCACAGAGACCATGTTGGAAAATAATTGAAAAATTTTCAAGCAAATTTCTATGGTAAAGGTAGATATTTCTTAAATGTAGACACCATTCTTGCTAAATGGGGGATCAGAATTCCTACAATGCTTTGGTCATTTTCCAAATTGAGATAGCATTAATAATTGTCCCAAAACCATGGTTCTATGCTGGATGTTAGCTCTCTCTTCCAGACAGCTTTATTGAGGTATAATTGGTATACAGTAAGTTGCATATATTTAAAGTGTAGCATTTGATACATTTTGACATGTATACATCCATAAAACCATCGCCAAAGTCAAGAGAGTAATAATATCCATCATCCCAAAAGTTTCCTCGGGTCATATGGTAGGAGTATGTTTAATTTTTTAAGAAATTGCCAAACATTTTTCCAAAATGGCTATACCATTTTGCATTCCCACCAATGGTATATGAGACTTCCAATTTCTTCATATAGTCACCCAACCACATTTGGTTGGCCAGCCTTGTTAATTTTAGCATTCTAGTAAGCAAGTAGTAGATTTTTGCTGTAGTTTTAATTGCATTTATTTCCCTAATGCCTAATGAAACCAAACACCTTTAAAAAAAACTGTTTTTTAGAGAAGTTTTAGATTCGCAGCAAAATTGAGTGGAAAGTACAGAGGGTTCCCATATACTCCCTGATCCAACAAATGCACACCCTACCCTAGCATCAACATCCCACACCAGAGTGTCACGTTTGTTATAACTGATGAACCTACATTCACACATCATTATCACCCAAAGTTTATAGTTTACATGAGGGTATGGCTTGATGTACAAATGTGTAATGTTTTGGCAGATGTGTAATATCGATCATTACAGTAACATGCAGAATAGTTTCACTGCCCTAAAAACCCTCTGTGTTCTACCTATCCATCCTTCCCCTTCCCTCCCCAAACGGTGGCAACAAACTGTCTCTATAGTTTTACCTTTTCCAGAATGTCATATACTTGGAATCATACAATATACAGCCTTTGACAGTTTGATTTCTGTCACTTAGTAATATGCATTTAAAGTTCTTTCATGTCTTTTCATGGCTTGATAGCTAATTTCCATTAGTGCTAAATAATTGCCCACTGTCTGGATATATGACGTTTATCCACTCACCTACTGAAGGGCATCTTGGTGGCTTCCAAGTTTTGGCAGTTATGAATAAAGCTATCAACATACGTGTGCAGATTTCTGTGAGGACATAAGTTTTCAACTCATTTCAATTTATATACTAAGGAGCATGATTGACGGATTTTATGGTAAGACTACGTGTAGTAAACTAAAGGCAGCCAAACGGTCTTCCAATGTGGCTGTACCATTTTGGCATTCCCACCAGCAACAAATGAGAGTTCCTGTTGTTTCACATTCTTGCCAGCATTTGGTGGTGGTGGGGTTTTGAATATTTGTATTCTAATAGAGATGTCTAATTGTTGTTTTAATTTGCCTTTCCCTGATGATATATGATGTGGAGCATCTTTTCATATGCTTATTAGCCATCTGTACATCTTTTTTGAAGTGTCTGTTAAGGTCTTTGGCCCACTTAAATCTGGTTGGTTGTTTTCTTATTGTTGAATTTTGAGTTGTTTATTTTAGAAAAGAGTCTGCTTTGTTCTGAATGTTTGTGTACCCCCAAAATTCATATTGTTGAAATCCTAATCTCTATTGATGGTATTGGGAGGTGGGGGTTTGAGGAGGTGATTAAGTCATGAGACTGGAACCCTCACGATTGAGATTAGTGCAGCCTTTGACAGATGGATTTCTGTCACTTAGTAATATGCACTTAAATTTCCTTCATGTCTTTTCATGGCTTGATAGCTAATTTCCAGAAGCAGCCACACAGAGCTCCCTAGCTGTGCTAGCACCTTTCTTGGACTTCCCAGCCTCCAGAAATGTGAGAAATAAATGTTTGTTTATAAGCCACCGAATTTATGGTGCTTTTGTAATAGCCGCCTGAATTTTTTTTTTTTTTTTTTTAAGATTTTATTTATTTATTTGACAGAGAGAGAGACAGCAAGAGCAGGAACACAAGCAGGGGGAGTGGGAGAGGGAGAAGCAGGCTTCCCCCATAGCAGGGAGCCTGATGCGGGGCTCGATCCCAGGACCCTGGGATCATGACCTGACTGGAAGGCAGACGCTTAACGACTGAGCCACCCAGGCGCCGCTCGCCTGAATGTTCTAAAACAGTCCTTTATCAGATACGTCCTTTATAAATATTTTCTACTTTGTGGTTTGTCTCATTCTCTTGATGAACACTGTTTACATCTGCTTATTGGCCATTCATGTTATCTTCTTTGATGAAGTGTATGTTCAAATCTTTATTTCTTTTCTTTGCGTTTTTTTCTAATTGTTGAGTTTGAGAGTTCTTTATATATGCTCTGGATACAAGTCCTTTATCTGCCATATGCTTTGCAAATATTTTCTCCCAGGTTGTTTCTTGCCTTTATTTTTTTAATAATGTCTTTTAAAGAGCCAAAGTTTTTCATTTTGATGAAGTACAATTTATCAATTTGTTCCTTTATGGATTGTGCTTTTGATATGGTATCTAAGAAGTCTTTGCGGGGTCACCTGCATGGCTAAGTCGGTTAAGCATCTGCTTTCAGCTCAGGTCATGATCGAGGGTCCTGGGACCTGGGATCTTGGATACTGGGATCGAGCACCACATTGGGCTCACTGCTTTGCAAGGAGTCTGCTTTACCCTCACCCTTTGCCCCTCCCCTGCTTGTGCTCGCTCTCAAATAGATAAAATCTTAAAGAAAAAAAACTCTTTGCCTAACCCAATTAGGCATAAGGTGACAAACATCTCCTATTTTCTTTTAAAAGTTTATGGTTTTAAGTTTTGTGATCATTTTTAATTTTTGTATATGGTGTAAGGTATGGTTCCAAGTTTTTTGTTGTTGTTGTTTTACATTATGGTTGTCCAGTTGTTCCAGCATCATTTCTTTAGAAGGCTATCCTTTTGCATTATATTGTCTTTGTGCTTTTATCAAAAACCAATTATCCACATATGTGTGGGCTTATTTCTGGACTCTGTTCTCTTTTATTGCTCTATTTGTACAAAATGCTGTTCTCATTGCTGTTAGCTTCATAATAATTCTTGAAACCAGGTAGAGTTAGGCCTCCAATTTTGTTCTTATTCAGAGTTGTTTTGGCTATTCTGGGTCCTTTACCTATGAATTTTATAATTAGTTTCTCAATTTCTACAAAAAAAAACTTGCTGGGATTTTATGATTGCATAAAATTTGAGAAGCAAAGAAAATCTTCACAATATTAAGTTTTATGATGCATGAACAAGGTGTATCTCCTTATTTGCTTAGACTGTCTTTATTTGGTCTTAGCAATATTTTGTAGTTTTCAGTGTTACAGGTCTTTCCCATCCTTTGTCAGATTTATCCCAACATATTCCATATATTTTTTTTAAAGATTTTATTTATTTGACAGAGACACAGCGAGAGAGGGAACACAAGAAGGGGGAGTGGGAGAGGGAGAAGCAGGCTTCCTGCAGAGCAGGGAGCCCAA